CAATTTAATGGAGGGTAAATTTGTCACAAATATGCCGGTTTTGAATTTTTGGTGATAAAAAAAATTAGTTTTGGGTAAATTTATTATAGTTGTACCAATTTGGATTTTTAGTGGTTAAAAAATTAGTTTGGGGTAAATTTGTTATAAGTGTACCAGTTTGAGGATTTTCGTGGTATTAACCCTATTGTATATGATCAATCTATTAGCCACACATTTCTTCAATTTCTTAAAATACTAGAGAATGCTATATACGACCACTTCAATGCCGTCGCCGATTTGGATTGTCGGAAAATGCAATGTGTCAATAGTTTAGTCTTTGTCCCACCAATGTGGCCTACTGACAAAGTGAGTTAGGATGAATTGCTCTAAAAGATGTCGTCTATGTGGGGAAAATTGTCCAAAAAGTTCTAAACCTATTGCACTTTTGCCAATTCAGTCATAAACCTTTTAAGTTTGCCAATTGAGTCTTAAACTTTTTCACTTCTTACCAATTGAGTCCATCCAGCCAATTTTGGCTGCCTGGAGCTGACGTGGACATCGACCAACGCCGACCATTTGGCAAACGTTGACGTGGCAATTTTTTAAATATTTTAATATTTTTTTCGAATTTTTTTCCTTTTTTTCTGGTCTTTTTCCCTCTGGCTGGTCCGGCGACTGGCAAAGCTCACCCCTGCCGGGCACTAGCGAGGGCGAGCCTCGCCGGCCCCTGGCTGGGCGAGGTCGAACCTCGCCCAGTGACGGTGAGGTCGGCCTCGCCAGATCTGGGCGAGGTCAAGCCTCGCCGGCCCCTGGCCTCGCCCAGCGACAACGAGGTCGGCCTCACCTTGGCTGGGTGAGGCTCAACCTTGCCGTCACTGGGCGAGGGAGACCCAGGTGACGGCGAGGTTGGCCTCGCCCAGGTGACTGCAAGGTTAGCCTCGCCCAGGCGAGGTCGAGCCTCGCCCAGCCAAGGCGAGGCTGACCTTGCCGTCGCTGGGCTAGGCCAGGGGTCAGTGAGGCTCGACCTCGCCCAGATTTGGCGAGGCCGACCTCGCCGTCGTTGGGCAAGGGAGACCCAGGCGACGATGAGGCCGACCTCGCCGATTTGGGCGAGGTCTCGCCCAGCCAGTGGCCGGCAAGGTCAACCTCACCGGCCAAAGGAAAGAAGACCAGAAAAAAAAAATTCGAAAAAAAGGGAAAAAAAATATTTAAAAAATCGAAAAAAATATTAAAATATTAAAAAAAATTGCCATGTCAGCTTTAGCTAGATGGCCGGCATCCACGTCAGCTCTAGGCGGCCAAAATTGGGTGGATGGACTCAATTGGCAAGAAGTGAAAAAGTTTAGGACTCAATTGATAAACTTAAAAGTTTTAGGACTGAATTAGCAAAAGTGCAATAGGTTTATAACTTTTTGGAAAATTTTCCTGTCTATGTGTGTTATCTGCCTCAAATTTGTGAATAGTGGTTAAATTCTCTCTCTTCTTCAAATCCTAATTTTTTTTTTGGTAAGGTTCAAATCCTAATTTTGATGTGTTCTTCAACCAAGAAATTGGAGCAAAATTAGGTGTTGAAATTTGTAATGGAGAGCAGGAGCTGGACAAACAGTACCAAATTAAGCATGTTTCGGTGAAGAATTGGGCGAACAAGAGTTGCGAAGGAGAGGGGGCAACATGGTTACCTGAACGAATTGGTTGTTGCATTTGGGTTTCTTTGAACAAAGATGAAGACGCAAACGAAGAAGATGAAGATGAAGACACAGATGAAGAAAATGAAGATGAAGACAAACTAGATGAAGGAGAAGAGAAGATAAATTTGTGAGTTAATTAGTTGTTTTCTTCAAATGCAAGCCCCATAACCAAATCCTTCATTTCTCTCTCTTTCTCCAGTGGCTAAGACAAGGTTCCTTAATCTTCTTCATCACCAGTCAAGCTTCCAAGAGAAGACAGAAGGATCAGAGTTTCATTTTTAAGTCAATTTTTTGGGAATAAATTGGTCAAACAATGTCATTTTGGCCCTTTTTTGCGACGTTAGTCGAAGGTTGTCTACATTAGACTTGAGTTTCTTTTAAAAAAAGTCTCATTAGAGTCAATATTTAATTCAAAAACTCACGTAGAACGAATCACCGGAATATGCACTTAAGTGATCGATTTTTCCACCAATGTAGCACTCAAGAGATTACATGAAATGTTTTGGCAATGAAGTTAGTGTCGTACAAAAGTTATGGCACTTTAAATGACATTTTCCTCCATATAATCGATGTTAGCAAAATATAATCAATTTGAGATATTGAGCTAGTGATTTTAATAGCACTGTATGCACGATTGGTCATGTGATGATTCTAGAACCTAAATGCGACTTTTAAGGAAATGCGCATGATCGACCATTTTACGTCGGAGTATATGATACTAACACTGATGTGCGTGAATAAGACACGAACACATTAGCGACTGTGTTCACAGATGCAAATGTGATAACTAATTCCTTTTTTTTATTTTAATATTGAGCCTTTTTTACTCAACTAAAATTCTCCACGTCTATATGCAAACTGCCCATCCCTCGATCGTTCATGTGGTAAGACTCCACCCATAAATGATGATAATTTCCGTCATTATCATACTTATCAACTCATGGTCATATGAGAGATATGCATGGTACCTATGCAGTACGTACTATGAAAAAGAGCATTAACGTGCTTATAAGTTATAGCACGAGTCATGCCTAATTATGCCAAAGATATATGCATGGTCATATGTCAAAATTGCATCGTTAGTATAATAATAATAATAATCCATATAGTAATGTAAGTTTCATGAACGTTTTAATTTATTATATCTGGATGGGGTGCTCCATAAATTCATGACATGCATTGTCACCAGAAGATTGATATCGAGTTCCGGCAAAACAAATGCCCTCCTATATATGCTTGCCCCATTCGAACAAATGCAAATGGACAAAGAGAACCTCTTAGTCGGCAATCAAAGAACAAGTCGAACATAACATTCGAAAACTCGACGGACGAATGCAAGGGTTTCTCCGTCTTCTTTGTGATGAAGTGTTAGGATCTATATCAATCCCTAGCAAAAGTACGAGGATCAATCTGACCCAATACTGATCAAGAGGAGGAAACTGAGCGTAACTTTTGCGAGGGCAAACACTATATATAGACGATATGGTGGCAAAGTTCTTGAGCATCCAACATAAAGAAAGAGGAAGAGAGGACTAACACATAGAAGATGCTAATGACGATTTTCCGACTACTTGCGGTTACAGTGTTCTGCTTGGTCTGTTGTCACAGCAATCTCGCAAGAAGTGACCCAGATGTTTCAGGGGTGAATTAGGTCTGTAACCCGGATACATATGCGGCTGGCTCCGTTTACGCTTCAAGTGTAGAAGACGTTCTTCAAGACGTACCGTATGGAACGGCAGACAAAGGTTTCAACTATTACACAAGGTCTACAGACGATTATGCTCAATGCTACGGCCACGGAGCTTGCAATGGCGAAATTTCACCCGATGATTGCTTCGAATGCATGGAAACTGCTGTAGTACAAATAACGCACCAATATTGTCCCCTCCAGATAGGCGGTCACCTACAACTTCAGGACTGTAGAGTTAGGTACGAAAATTATTATTTCAAGGAGTAATTGCGCTGCTTTCTTTCAATAATAGGAGCAAATGTGCAATCATGTAAGTAAATAATTCGCATAGAGCTGCCAGTTTCCTATGAAATTATATATAACTGTTGTTATCGTTGGAAAACCCAATGTAAGGGTTTTAAATGGTTCCACATCTTCAATTTGCGTTAAGTTTTGATCATGTTATTTAATTTCATGTACTGGTCATTTGGGTGAAATTGTCTTTGTTATCCAACGGATGTCAGGATTTCTAATGGATGTTGATTCTGCTGATGGTAAGGGTGTGAATTTCACTGTCATATTTGGAGGCTCTAGCGGCGGGCCTAATACAGCCACTCTTTCGCCATGATACTAATAAGTTGGAACTGTCAAGAGATAGGATCATCCTTGACTGTTCAAGCCTTAAATGACCTTTCAAGAAAAGTACACCCTCGTATGGTTATTCTAAGGGAAACAAAAGGTAACAAGGAGAGATTGGAGGCTGCGTTTTGCGAAGGATGCTGCGTTTTGTGCAAGCACTCTATGTTGATCCTCAAGGGTTGAGTGGTGGCCTTTCTCTATGGGGAAAAGAGACGTTAAGATAGAATTTGAAGACTCAACCAGGAACTACATCCTTGCAATAGAGTTCATCACCAAGATCTGCAGATTGGGGGAAGGTTTATGTGAATGTATGCCGATACCGATTATAATGCTTGACAGCAAACTTGGGCGTTTAAGAGACTATTGGTCTTGGAAATGCTACACCATGGCTTTGTGTGGGGGCCTAAATGAAATTGGGGATAATAGTGAGAAATTTAATGGAAGATTGAAGGAACCTGAATTCATTCGTTGACTTGCACTTTGTCACAGGTTTACACATGCGCTTTGACACAGGTTTACAGGATCCGAGTTACCGGGGTCAGAGCTTCACTTTCGTGTAACACAAGACTGCGATGTGGTATCGGGAACACCTCTTGCGAGATCACTGCTACCCCAGAAGAGGCCCGATTTTGATCATTGCAATTCTCAGAAATGGATCTATCAGCAGAATCACTGTCTTGACTCTCTTCCCCTTTATCATAACTGGTTGTTTACAAAATCCAACTTTTGCTGTCTATTTAAAGAGGTTGGTGTGTACATTTCTTCATGTAGTTCACCGGGTCAAATCGACCCTCTTATTGATTTTCAAGAATATTCAGCTAGTTGATAAGGCTAATCACTAGATTGACAGGAAAACCAAAAATTCACCCTATTGCTGCCATCGAGTTTTCCAGTATCTTAAGTCTGAACTCAATATTTGGTGGCGTCAGTGGCTACAATTTCGTCTGACAAATCTTTACATATACAGCTTCACGACTTTAAACATCGGCAGAATCGAACAGAAAACATCGGCAGAATCGAACAGAGAAAAAAATATGAGCTCTTAACTACTATTACAGATAGTAACAACACCTATGCAGTATGCAGACATGCCATGAGTAAAATTTTCAGATCTCAGAATATATTCGAACAAGGCGTAACAATTCAAAGGATGTAGTTAAGCGCCATTCCCGTTGCTTTTTGCTAAGAGGCCTTCCTTTACCAGCTTTTTCTCTGTTTGCTCTTACATTGGCTAGACCCCAGGTGCAACATTTGGTCTCCGTGTCGACCGAAATGAGTTTGAAGATGCCATCACCTTCCGAGGATGAGCCACTTGAGTCTGTCTCTAAGACATATTTTACAAACATGGGTCGATCCATGAACCGATCAAAATCATGCGGAATGCCAACGACTCTTTCAACTCCAGGAGATGAGACCTAGAAGGATTGCTACTTTAGGCAAGACACTCCGGATACATATCGTGAACTTTTCTTCAAAAAAAGTTGCTTCTAATCACATTTACATATCGTGAACTTTACTTCAAATAAACTCAATTCTTGTCATATCTTCTTGCATGTTCACAAATCAACAATTTTACTACTCCAGTTCATCAGAATTAGAAACCAGAGTGTGTTTAAAAGGCAAGATGGTAACCGGTTAAAGCACAAGTGTTCAATACCACTCCTAATCCTTCACTCTTTCCCTTTTACAGTGCAATGGTTAGTTGGGCCCTATATACCTTAACCTCAGCTCTCTAAATTTGGAACTTCTCCTGTTGCATCAGATATTATCATTCTTGTCTCTTGTCATGGTAGATTCATTGAGTTCATCAGTACGCACCCGCTCACGAAGTTCAGCATGCAAGAAAGAATGCTCTATACCGGGAACTAGTGAAAGAAACAAGTACCTCCAAAGATAAATTCTCTGGTACAGATTTGGCAGCCTCGGCTTCATCAAGACGAGCTCTATAGGTCGCAGAAAATGCTTCTATATCTTCCATACTAGGGGAACCAGACCTGAACACATGTTGTGATTACAGAGATTAACTGAATTAGTTGACAATGGAAATAATAATCACCATTCACATAGAATTGAAACCAACATAAGAAAGTGAGCCAAATTTGTCCTTTCCACTGTAGGAAGGTTTTAAAGCTTGAGTTCAGCACAACTATGGTTAGGAAAGCATAGCTATCCTTCCTACAAATTTAAGAAGTTAACTAAAAATGAATTCCTCAGGTCATTGCATGTAACTGTTTCTTCTGTCCTATAGGCCCAAGGAGCGAGCAACGTCTATGAAGAGATGTAGCAGGAATCGTTCCGCAGCACCTCACTTAATTTCCTTCTAAAAAACAAAATCAAGCCAGTACGAGAAACATACAGAAGTCGGCCTTGTCTAGGACACCAACATATGGGAGAGACAGCGAGAGAGTTCCAATGAGAAGGCATTCCACATACTTTCAGTCTGCTGGTTTGATATAAATGTCTCAACTTATAGAGCTATTAAGGCCGGCACATTTTTGTCGAGGGAAGAACAAGGCATTCATCGCTAATTTGGACTGCCACAAAAAGTGGATGATACCGTCCAAACATCAACTGTACCGCTCACTCTTGATAGAGCCTCGCCTGCATTAGCGTCATTAGGTCATTACCTCTTGGAAAGATTTTCGATGCGAACTTGAATTGTGCAATTTAACAGCGTTTTGAAGGCATATATCTTCAAATCGCCATCAAAAGATTGAGACACCTGTTCTGCTATCGCTAATGCTTTTTTGTCCCACCAAGTCCCAGCCAGAGAAATCCCACCTCCTCCGCCTCCATCCCCAACCTTTCATACAGTGTCAGAAAAAGATTAGGTCCATTAAGGAACTTATCAAATTTGTGTCCAAGAAAACTAGAACACGGGCTCTGTTAGAACAGCATTTACTCACATAGACTTCAGCATCATCTTCCAGATACTCATCTTCAAAAGTCCCATCCTCATACTCATCCTCCAATACATCTGCATACGAACTAAGACGTCTTCACACCTTATTGCTCGTTGAGGTCATTTCAGAACATTTCACAATAAAACGGCCTCGAGGGCATTCGCGAACAGCTTCCGCCTGCTTTCTCGCCATACCCATGATTGCTCGTCTTCTTTTCGGGCGTGCCCGCCCGCTTCTGCTCCGAACAGGGCATTCGCGTCCCTCGCCCGGAAGCGGGACTCGCAGCCCGAGCCAGTCCTCACGCCGGCCATCGTCGAAGAAGTGTCGGTGGGTGTCGACGAAGAGGACGGGGTCATCTTCGACGGTTTAGATGGTGGTGAGTGGAAGTGATTGTTGTCGATTTCTCATTCTTTCCTGCCATGGTTTTGCCTTTTCCAGTTTTTGCAAATTGTGTACTGTTGAAACGGAAGAGGAGAGAGACCTTCTTTCTCCGATTTTCTGGGATGGGTCGGACGGCGGCGGCTTGCTCTCGCCACTCAAGAACTGGGTAATGAGAATGACACGGGTATGGCGAGAAAGCAGGCGGAAGCTGGCCGTTTTAAAGCTGAGACCGAGGCCTACGCGAACAACACGTCCCCGTTTGGGGAAAGTTTATCTTTTGGGCAATCTTCACATCCTCGTTTCTCGTCGTCATATGAATAAACTTTGTTGCCCTTTGCCAATGTCTTACGTATTTAATAGTGTAATAAGATATTGCAACCAATCGTACCTAAACCCAGTTATGGCCATAATGGGCCTATGAATGTCCGAGGAAATCAATTACATTATAGGGTTACAAATCGAGTTTGCGATCCATTTTGACAACTTTACTCATGAAGAGCCGATCTATTAAAATAATCGCTCATGAAGAACCAATCTATTAAAATAATCGCTAATCATCTCATTAGACAGTCTATATAAAGGGGCTATTTTGTGGCCTCTATTTTGCCAAATCGCTTTTCTTATTGTTTTCTAAGCCTCTATTTTGCCCTTCTTCGCCTACTTCGGAATCGGAACCTTAGCATTAAAATGTCATGAGCAGTCATCGCATATTAATTTGAATTGATCCTCGGGCGGTCCATCGACAACAATTTAAAATCATGAAACGGAGCTTGTGAACCTCTAGCGAAACCTGGTTCAGAGGGTACTGCCAGGTGAACTTCAAAGAAATCGAATGTATTTCACTATTGAGCATGCTATTTGAATTCATTACAAACATCCAAGGACGCGACCAGGCAAGGCTGCAATGTTTCTGTAGTATTCGATTTGAACTGTAACTATTTGATGATCCGAGTCTCTGTATGATTTGCACAAAATAGGTGAAGATCAGAAGGGAGCTTGGGGTCATAAAGAAGGGAGGGATGATGAACTAATTGCCAGCGGTGAGGGAGTGACGGTCGCATTATCAGTCCAATTCTTTTCGCCCCAATGCCACAACATGCTTTCCCAGAAACAAAACTCCTCGAAGCATGTCTTTAGACGTTTGTCTTTTATTTTGATCTTCCAGTGACCGTCTGTGTAGTTTCCTTTCTCGGCCTGCCTTCGGTCCCACTCCAAAGCTGCCTTCTGCTTCGACCGAAGCAAGCAGAACTTTTGCAAGTTCTCTGGCATGGCGTCATGGACCTTCCACCACGTCCGGTGGGCGACATCGCTCGCAAACTCCTGCAGGATGTCTACATTCCAGTTGCAGTCGTAGTCCCGGAAGCATAGCCATGGTTTGTTACCGAGATAGTGGAGGACATAAAGGATCGGAGGATCGGCACCAAACAGACGTGTTTTCATCTCCTTCTTCTCCACCTCATCACCTTCCCAAAAGTGCTTCAAGAAGTTCATGTGCCTAGGGATCCGATGCCACCAAGTGAATATTTCATTTAGATATCCCTGATCCCCACCATTGTAGGACTCGATTTCATTAATGTGATCCATAAGCAGCTGGAATGTACAATTTGATGGCTCAACCACCATCACGCCAGAGTTGAACAGAGTAGCGTTATTGCCGATTGCAGATATTTCAGGCATTTCGAACAGGAAATCAATATTCCTGAGGATAAGCAAGTCAGCATCAATGAAAATGATCTTGTCGTAATCAGTCAGCTGCCAAAGCCGAAATTTGCTGTAGTTCCACTCGTTATACGCGTCCCTTTCAGCTTTCGGATTCCTGATTCTCTGGATCGTGTGGACTTTCCACCCTGCTTCCTCCAAACCTTTCCGGTGATAGTCACTGATGCTTTCATCAACAAGTATCACAAGGTCCCGCGTAGAACCGGCCATGCGAATGCTCTGAGCTGCTGTGATGGCCCCGCAAACGTAGACATGAGCAGAGTGCAGGATTGTAGCATATGCTTCTCGATGTGGCCTTTCTGAGTAAAAGTGTTCTGTTGAAATGCAACAATCCCATCAGGGTGAAAAAAGAAAAGGAAAACAAAAGGAGAAGTTTAAGGGTATATTTGCATTCTCTGAAACTGATTCATCAAGTTCTGAGTTCACTTTGGCAGTAATCGTCCCAGGTGTCACACAAGCATATATCAAATTCCAATCCCAACTTACTTCTCACAAGTAGCATTTTGCAGGATTTTGTGCGCTCATGCTATGAATGTCTATATTGGCCAAATGGCTTGATGCCATGAAGAATCTGGTTTAAGAACCGGCTAGGTGGAAAATGGGGAGAAGAAAAGGATGTTCACTTTGCAAAACAAATTTGAGCTTGCTTGAGGAGATCATAACAAGATAAAGAAGAAGCTGACCTTTAGCCTTTAGAGGAACCGCCAGTTCACATGACCCAACAGGAAGACGAGCCTTTTCTCTCAGTTTATTTAGGTTGGGCTCATACAGCCAGACATTCCCATTGTGTGTGATAAGTTCCTTGCAAGTGAAGAGATTTGGAATGGGAAAGCATTCACTAACAAAAAGAATGCGCACTTGATGATAACTCTTAGCAGCAGCAGCAAGTCTGGCTGCGGCAAGTTGCAAATGCAGACGAGCCACGTCTCTTGACCACCTCCCTGACTTATCACATGGAAGCTTGACCGCAATAAGATCAAGACGTGGTTTTCCAGGAATCTGAAGCTGAGGCAAGAAAGGACAAGTGGGGACCTCAAACTCTTCTTCCTCATCTATCCATTCAGGATAGAGCGTCTCCCAGGTTACATTGTGAGGCACATGTTCCAGGTGTAACACAACATGCTCGGGTTCAGGGAATAGTTGCTTCCAATTATCAATTTCATTTTCATTAAAGTTCAACAGACCTACACCTTGATACTCATTCTTATCGGTCAGCTTCTCAATAGCGGTTGAGATCTGATCCCAATTAATGTCCAACAATGACGCATAACGGGGATCTGCACCAGCAGTCTCTCTTGTCCATCTACCAATGAGACTTGGCCTGCAGGAAATCTAGATTAGTCAAGCACCAACATACTGAAGTGTGTGCATAACATGCATTTATCTATGAATTATACCACGATGAAGTCAAATTTAGAAAAACTGTATATCTCTAATAACTCTAGCCCAACCCACAGGTAAAAGGTGAGGAAAATAACAGTTCGCACCCAAAAAAGCAATAAGAAAAAGAAAAAACTTTCATTCTGATGGAGGATTGGAGCACAAGAATTACCGAGATGAAGAACCAGGGGGATGATCTGTATTATAAATTGCCGGAGAACAATAGAGCGTCAGAAAAGTTCCTAGTAAAATAATAAGCAGAACTACTTTCAAGGTTGGTATCTTGCATTTCAAATTCCTTGCTTGGATGGGTAAATGGAGAGCTTTCTCAACATCTTTGAAATATTTACTCCTTTGGAATCTTTTCTTATTTTTCTCGTCACTGCACCAAGAAGACAAAAATGAAAATGTATCCTGGGGTATTTGAAAGACAACACACATAAATAAACAATAAACAAGGCGCAATTTTGATAAACCAACACAAGCTGGAAGCTCTATAAGTGTTGACAATCGTTCAGAACACAAATTTCAACAAAAGCGAACGTCATTCCAGAAGGCAAACTTCTGCACATTGCCAATTGAAAGTCCTCATAATACCACAGGCATTCTCTCCCTATTATAGTGAACACAAGAGTCTGCAAGACACCAATCAGAGACCATTTACTACTTGCACAAACCCATTCCTACATAACTTGATAAATGTACACTTGTACAAATAAAAACTATCATGTATATACAGCTTCTGGGCAAAATGCAACTCCTTTTTCGAAACCTTACTTCTTGGATTCTTCAAATAGTTTGAAGAGAAACTTAACGAGAGAAGCAATAGGAGAAACAAGGCAGAGCTCTGAAATATTCGATTTTGGTCGTATATTACTACATACTAAACAGGAGATGAAAGAGAAAACAAGGAAACATTTTAGATTCCAACTCAAGATCATTATTTCTCCAACCATCCCTAATCCTTCTCTTCTGAAGCTAGCACCACAAACATAAGCACAAGAGAGAAGTGCCGACTGTGATAGAAAACTTAAGCAGGAGACGGAACGTAATCTGGCTGGATGGAAATAACACGCCATGGCAGTGTATGAGCACACAAGATTAGTCTGTCTCTGTATGTAGAACTGATGCTGCGAAACTGGAGGGTACACATTTTTCTCTCCCCTTAGCGAAGAAGAAAAGGAGAAACTGACAAGTTACACACTACTTCAGGTTTTGAAATAATTAAACAAATAATTTCCAACGTGTATTGTTGTTCTTCCCTCAACCCAACAACCCCTTCCCAAGCACCACAGGATATAAATAATTGACTACATTAACAATACTAATAAGGCAGCTTGATAATTAGATAATGATGAGCCATTATCGAGTTAAAAGCATCATAACTACCTTAATCTGTCATAGCATTATCTTGTGGCATTATTCAAAAAATTTGACGCCCCCACCCTCCAAAAATGGAAAAGTCAAATGGCTTCCAGAAAAATGAAGATCGATGCGTAAGGATAACATTGCTGGTCACGTTCTGAACCAATTTGCAGAATTCACATTTTTCGACCCAAAACCGACTTCAATTGAGAATTTCAAACAGACGAGACATTGATCTCGGCATTCCCCGACAGTTTCCAACCTCGAAATGAGAATCGATCAAGGTCCTCTCAGCCTTCCACCACATAGCGCAGTAAGCAAACCTACATCGTTGCTCAGTTGATTGCAAAAGCTCTAACAGCTGAACAGCTCACCAAACAAATTGATCTCGGCAAATAAAAAGGAGAAGACCAAGTAAGCCCCGGCTGCTAGGACAGTCCATCACGCAGACGAAAAACTCCAACGCCAATTCAACTCCCAAAACCACCAATCTGATCTCGACAATGCCTCGATAATGCTCAGCAAAACAGAGGGGTCGAGTTCATCCGCAAGAAGCATTCTTTTTAACTCTACAAGTCTAGATGCTAATACCCACATGAGCCAAGCACAAATCAAACGCTTTTGGCGCCCCCAACGAGCTCCGGTCACCTGATCAGCTCACACACACACACTCACACACGAGAGAGAGAGAGAGAGAGAGAGAGAGAGAGAGGCTGACTTGGAGGGAGAAGACAGTCGGTGCCTGGGCTCGACGGAGCTAGGGGAGGGTCCTCTCATCCTCCGACGGCTCAGTGGCGGCTCGGTGGAGGCACCACCTATATACGCAGAGAACAAAAATTCAGCCAAAAAGACAAAAGAGAGAGAGAGAGAGAGAGAGAGAGCAGCGCATAAAAAACAGTAAAAAAGAAGAAGACCCAACAACAGGGAGCTCGTACAAAAAAAAAAACCGTTTCCTTCCTGCAATTCGAGGACAGAGAGAGAGAGAGAGAGAGAGAGAGAGGTTGACACCCGAGATAAGCAAAGTTCCCGGTGAGAGAATAGCTGTCTCCTCGCTCCTTTAATTTAAGGGTTGGTGAATAATGCCGACAACGCCGTCCGGCTTCCCCTTAACCCCTCCGAAACTCTTAAACAACAAAAGGAAGGCACAGGCCCATGGCGGCTTCCTCTTCCGCCCTTTACCATTTCCGCTCTCCTCAACATTCTCCGCTCCAAAACCCATTATTTAATTCCTCTTCCCTCGCCTTCGTTTTGGTAAAAAATCCCGTTTTTTTTTCTTTCTTTCTTTATTAAAGATGGGATACGCTGCTGACACGTCGAGACAGGCATGGACGACTGTACCTGAATAGAATACGTCTTATGGGGCGGGGCGGGGGGAGGCAATCATGGGGAACAGAGCTTGCACATTCCAGTTGTGGGGGATTCCCAGGAACAGTCAGATGATTTTGGAACAGTTAAACTGAGATTTCTGTATTGATCCCCGAGTAAATTAATCGTGGTCGGGTGCGGCAGATGTTAATGTCAGTCGGGTTTCGTGCATTCATTTTCAACCCCCCCGTGTCTGTGGACTTTTCCATGTACGAACTGCACGATCTCTTCCGGCGTTGGGGGCGCCGGTCAAGTCGGCTCGCGTTGTCGCGTCGCGAAACCGGTGATCGTCGGAACACACGGGGCTCATGGTCTTGAGCCAGCTGCCGGTTGTGTGTTCGCAATGCCGCTGATGGTTGCGCGTTCTTCGGTTTGGACTTGCATACGGGGGAATTACAACTTGCTTTTCCACCACGAGTGAGGCGCGCAGATTGGCGGCCATTTGTGTTTGTGCCGTGTTATGTTGTGTCCACATCTAGGGCATTGCTGCAAAGTAGATCAATCTGAACACGAAAACGATTTTGACACGAACTTGATCCGGAAGCTAACGGGGGTGATACGGCACAACCCATCTAACCTGATCAAATGACCGGTTAATGGCTCAACATGATTACATGACCCGTTATAAAAAATCAACCCGCCAAGATGAAATTGGTGTGAAATATGCGTAATTTTTCATTAGTTCTATCAATTCGTCAATAAAATATCATCAAATCAAATATAAAAAAAACATGTTTGTAGTCAATGGAATATCATCATTTGAAAATCTTAATTGTGAATAATATGGAAAGAATAATCCGATGCTGGTCGTGTCAACACTAAATTATTAATTTAAATAAGTTACACGGATCAGATTTGATTCTGGCTTGTTGGACACGAATACGATTCATTAATCAGGTCTTGCGGGTTGATGGGAAATTAACTCGTACACGATTAATCTCAATCCAAACCCACTAATTTTATGTCGTGTTCGAAATTTTTTCTCTTGTTGTGCCAAAAATTACCACCCCAACCTAGTTAAAAGCATAACTAATTGCCAAAACAAAAGAAAAATGAGCATAATTAACTCATTTTAGTGTAGAAAAGTCAATGTGATTTTGTTTGAAAATAAATTATTTATCTACATGGACCTAACAATAATACATTGTTTAGTTCCAAAGTTATTAGGGTTAGATAATATCCTATTTATCATCTTTGCAAGGGGACTTTTCCCAACCACAAATATACATGTCCTGAACTTCCACGTAATATGTTGGCAATTTTACGAAAACTCAAGAATTTAGAAAAGATAATTTGTCTAACATGACATAAGAACACGCAGCTCAATGGTTCAAATCCTAGCATTCTTTCTCTCAATTTTTCTGATGTCTGTTACTCCTGTTACCATGTTCCGTCTGCGATCCCGTTATTGCGGATCTATTCACACAATGTCCAGCACGCGTAAGGACCGGTTTATGCACGAGGAAGAGCATTAAGCAATATGCTATACAAAGTCTTTGTTTTGTTAGGTCAAAGATAATTAGCAAATGATGATTGTCTTCAATCTTCATATTGGTTTATTTCTAACAAACACAATGAACTTTTTAAACAAGAAGCAAAATATTAAGGGTTAATACCACAAAAAATCCAAAATTAATACACACGTGATAAATTTATCCCAAATTAATTTTTTGACTACGAGATAACCCCCTCGTTAGTTTCGTATCAGATTTTACCGTAAATTATTGAATCACATTAAATTTTACAGTCAAATTGCTATATACCCCTCTGTTTCTCACAAGTGTATTAGTTTGTTATTTTTTGCGGTATTAACGCAATTTAACGAATGGTAAATTTATCACAAGTGTACTGATTTTGAGTTTTTTGTGGTCAAAAAATTAGTTCGGGGTAAATTTGTCACGTATGTACCGATTTGGGATTTTTTATGATCAAAAAATTAGTTTGAGATAAATTTGTCATCAATTTGAGGTATTTCGTGGTATTAACCAAAATATTAAAAAGGCCTACTTATTTATTTTATTTTTGCGGTCTAAAAACCAAGTCTACTTTAATTGCCCATCATTGATGAGCATGTGGGTTGAACACGACTTGTAGCCAAGGAGATAACATAGAAAAAGAGAATAGGAACTTGGTAAACCACTCGGTCCTTTCTTGATTTTTGACCTAATCAAAGCAAAACCAAACCCAGGTCCGGTCAAAGGCATGTGTGTTAGGCAATCCCCCCAACAAATCTGGCCCCCCCTTTTAATTAAACCGTTATTTGGGAGCTAATCAGTGTGGCGGGCGGGCGGCCCAATTAATAATTGATCTCTAATTAATCGGGATTAAGCTGTTCCGTGCAATCAAACGACACGATAAGGACTTGCTAACCACCGCTCGCCTGTACATGAGAATTTAGTATTAATATCAACTGCCGCTGCTTTGATAATCATGTACCGGTTTTCGTCGATTACTCTTCATTTCGGTACGACATCGTAATCAATTAATAATGGAACGATAAGTTTAATTAGATGGAAAAATAAGATGGTTAATTATTAGTTCTTTCTTTTTACCATTACACGTGCTTTTTTAATCTAGAAAGCAAAATGTTTCGTCGTTGCTTAAATTTATTTAAAATGTAGAAAGAAAATGAGAGAAGGATTATTGGAAGGTTATGCATAGAAAAAAAAAGTGGGCGGTTACTCAACCGAGACATTATACTGAGGGGTAATTTTTGGAAAATTTCTTTTAATTTAACCATATAGATATATAATGGATCCTTCAAATTTTACGTCACCGTAAACCTATGGTGGGTTTGCACACAAGCCTCCAAGCCGCATTAAATTTTTTGGAACCACTCCTGAGAATCACCAATCTACATGACTCCGAGTGGTCGTCATGGGCGAATTCTTACACTTAATGAGAGATCGGTCCTAAACCTATTATACGGACAGCAATTTAAATTTATGATTTATAATTTTGCTAATCGAGTCCTAAATCTCTACGCGAAATTCAATATAGTTCTTTCAATCAATTTTCATCGAAAATCGTGGCATCCGTACAATAGATTATCGACTAATTTGATAGTATCGATCTCCTCGACCTAATGTATGATTATTTCGAAATTAAAATGCATACCCTGTATACACACGCAAGATTCAACTCTTGTAAACAGACATTTATGAAGATTGTACTGGCTAATATCTTACTTTTTTTTTATAAGAAGTTGGAGCTTTAAGGTGAGTTAAAAAAAAGGGGAAAAGGATAAACATATCCCGCCGGCAGGAGTTGAGTGGGAGTGGGCATCCATGATGTCTTCCGCTTCGTGTTAAGAATTAATAGCGAATCACCATGGAATTATTTATATTCGAGTCCCAAGTCCTTGTCTTGAGCACCCTCGATTTGCTCTAGCATGTGTATTATTTTGTGCGGCTAAATGATACGACGCGGCGAGCCGTCCAGGCACGGTATCGTCGAGCCGTCTTTTATAAGATCACGAATTTGTATCATATTGAGAGCGAATTCTTGATCAGTTTGTATCTCAAAGGGAAAATTGTCCAATAAGCCATAAACATATTGTACGGCGGCCAGTTTAATCATAAACATTTCAACTGTGCCAATTCAATCCTAAACTTTTTGACGATTTGTCCTAACATCCAATTATCTAAATAATAGATTTATGATTATATTGACACAACTGAAAGGTTTACAACTGAATTGGCCATCGCATAATAAATTTATGACTTTTTGGATAATAATTCCGTATCTCAAATATTTGCTACCTCGTATATCGAGACTTCGTGGCTTCTAGCATACTGGTGGAGCTGGCATTATGGGCTATGCCATCTACAAATGGATCAGAGCGGGTAGTGGCGGGCATAAGAATTATTATTTGGTGGGAAGTGATACGTCTAAGTTCTCCGAAATAATCATAAAAAAATAAAAGAATCTATGTCATTTTGGTTAGTATGCAAATAAAGATCTTCAATTTGTTTCTTATAATTGTCATTTAACAATTATCAGCGTTCCATTATATCATTGCAATTATTGTATTGAGTTAATGGAAAATCAAGAACGTGCGTGTAGGGCCACAAGGCCCACAACACATTACCGCAACATAAGTAAAATATTCATGAACACCAAAAAAAATTAAGAATTAATATCACGAAAAGCTCCAAACTTGTACATCCGTGACAAATCTCCATTAAACTAATTTTTTTGATCACAAAAAACTCCAAATTGCTACATCTGTGACAAATTTACACTCTGTTAAATTGGATCAATAAAAAAAAAAATCACAAACTAATACACTCGTGACAAACGAAGGGTAAAACCCCAAAGTGATATATCCGTCAACTGCTGCATGTCATTTAACTCAGTAATTTAATTGTAAAAATTTAACGAAAGGTAAATTTGTCATAAGTGTACCAGTTTGAGGTTTTTGATAGTCAAAAAATTAGTTTAATGTAAACACAGGTATACAGGTTTGGGGTTTTTTGTGGTATTAACCCGAAAATTAACCATTGGAATTAGCAAATGATTTTTTAATCCATAAGAATGACCAATTTATGATAAATATTGTAGTAATAACTACAAATCTCGTTATTATGAATTTTAACAGAAGATGACATTTTCTATGGTCGACAAAAATTTTAAACCTATTGGGCGGCAATCAATTCAATTGTAAACTTTTTAATTTTGTTAATTTAGTCCTAAACCTTTTGACGATTTACCAGTATAGTTATTCCAGTCAATTTTGGACAAAAATTGCTGAAGTGGATGCTAGTTCCTACACGGTGATGCCGGCGTTGACGTGGACGATTTTTCGAAAATTTTAAGGAATTTTTTGAAGTTTCTTTTATTTGTTCCTTTTCCTTTCTTTTTTTTTCTTTTCATTTTTCCTTCATTGGATTTCTGGCCAGCGGGGTCTTTGGCCAGCGCCAAGGCTTGGCGATCGGCGGAGGGAAATAGAGAAAAGAAAAGAAAAGAAAGTAAAAAAAAAAGAAAAAAATTCAGAAAATATAAAAAAAAAAATTTGTAAAATGGTCCACATTAGCGATTTTTGTGTCAAATCATTAAAAAGTTTAGAATTAAATTGGCCAAATTGAAAATTTTATATTGAATTGGTATCGGTATTATAAATTTATGGCTTTTTTTTTTTGGTAATTATGCCGGTAAGAAGCCTTCAAGTTTGTGTTGCTTTTCTTTCCTTTGCTTTTATGACCCCAACGTTTCTAATGCATCTAATCATGTGATTCCGTCAGCTTTTACGATAACGCTTTCGCGCAAGGCGCGGGTACATTCAATTCAATGGTAAGATCGTGGGCCCAAAATTTATGGGCTTTAAGCCCAAACGATGAGGCCATAGAACTTGTGCTCTTCGAAGTCCAAATTGATAAGCATCAATGGGAGCTCGTTAGAGGCGCTTGGCCCACGGTCAAGAAGAAGCAAAACCCATAAATAACTAATGCAAAAATTGCCCTTTCTTAACACATGCCGAGCGTAGGAGTGGGGTGGCAACCCTTGGCCACGCGACACGGATTTGCTAGAGGTGGCAATACGGGTCACGAGCTTATTCATTAGCTCAATTTAGTGGGCCCAGGTTAAAAATGGGTCGCTCGAAATTTTGAAATGGGTCAAAACGGGTTTGAGCCGCCAAATTACGACGGGGCGTGATTCGAAACCGACGACATGTGTTTCTACCCATTTTCAATAAGGAAGCAAATTGCAATCCCGTGAGAATTATCTAGGTGTCGAGACGAATAGTTTGCACAAAATACAATGGCACGCCACGCGAATCCAAGCTTCGCGGCTCGTTCGCCCTTCGGGCCCAGACAGGCCCGGACCGAACGGGCCGTCGCCGATGACCGACCCGAAAACCCGTCTTTGGGAAAAACAAAAAAAAAAGGAAAAAAAAAAAAGCAGGTGAAACCAAAGCTCGGATCTGAGACTCGGTGCTGAAATACCGGAAGATTTCGGAGGACGAAGGAGGAGGAGGAGCTCCGGCGAGGACGGTGATCGGCGAAAATGGTGCTGGTCTCGGCGGTGCGAGACTACGTCAACCGGATGCTGCAGGACATATCCGGCATGAAGGTCCTCGTCCTCGATTCTCAAACCGTAAGCTCCCTCTTTCCGACTCCATCGCCTCCCCGCCCGGGGGGAAATTTCGCAATTTCGCCCGCTTCCGGTTCGCGCGTTGTCTCTCTGGATCGTCGCCGCTTTGGTGCGGAATTCGCTTGCTTGATCGATCGAGGAATTGCGGTGAGGGGATGCGATGTTTGACGGAATCCGCGTTTTTTGTGGCTGCGGTGGATTGTTGTGATTCGCAGGTCAGCGTCGTTAGCGTCGCGTATTCGCAGTCCGAGCTCCTCAAGAAGGAGGTGTTCTTGGTGGAGGTGGTGGACTCCATTTCCAAGTCTAGGGAGTCGATGTCGCACCTCAAGGCGGTTTGCTTCCTCCGCCCGACGTCGGAGAACGTTCAGCATCTGCGGCGCCAGCTCGCGAGCCCTAGGTTCGGAGAGTATAACCTCTGTGAGTTCCTCTAATCTCTGTGTTGAGGGTGTGGAATCGGTTGTCAGCTTTGAGGTGATTGTGGATGGGGATTGAGTGATGATGATGGTCGATGCCGAATTTTTTTTGTAGTTTTCTCGAACATACTGAAGGATACGCAGATACATGTTCTGGCTGATTCGGATGAGCTAGAGATTGTTCAGCAAGTTCAGGTACTCGCGTTTTCTTTGAATGTTTAATGCAAATTGCGCTTGACTTGGTTTTACAATTCACTTCCATGACAAAAATATGCACATTGAAGACCCATGTTCACTCACTTTTCTTATTTTATTTGTTGTTAATATTAGCTCAAAGTTCAGTTGGTCAATGCTGTGTAGTATTAGCTTGTAGTGCCATCATCTTTTCTGTTGTTAGATCCAACCACCGATTTGATATTGCAGGAGTTTTATGCAGATTTTGTTGCTATAGACCCTTTCCATTTCACATTGAATATTCCGTCAAATCACATGTATATGCTCCCAGCAGTTGTCGACCCCCCAAGATTGCAGCAATTCTGTGACCGAGTCGTTGATGGTGTTACTGCAGTATTCTTGGCCATGAAGCGGAGACCTGTGATCCGTTACCAAAGGACCTCCGACATTGCAAAAAGGATAGCACAAGAAGCGTCGGTAAGCAGGGTTTGAATGCTAGAGATTCCTGGAAATAAAATATGGTTCTAGGACATGTATTTTGATGTTTTTCTTAGTTTGGGCTGTGGAGTTCTACTCAAATATAGTAGGCTACTGTAACGATTTTGGAATGAGGAAACAATGTGCTTTTGTAATATATTGACCTTGGGATGCATAGAGTTTCTCCTCTAGACTCGTAGATGTCTTCCCAAGGGCCAAGCTTTTCTCCATCAGTATACTTAGCTTCTTCTGAGTTGATATTTTCTCCTGTGTTCAGTAGAGTTATCGGGCTAATTCTTCTGGGAGTAAATTCTGCAACTCTACTTAATGTAGAAGTTTGCCTTTCGCTTTTGTGTGCATCTTATATGCTTCCATGCCCAGCCTCATTCATAGTAAAATTCTTCCCTTATCGCCTAACAGGTCAAATTGCATCTTCCTAATTTGCATCCAGTAATAGTATGGTTTACTTGATTTTTTCAGTACGTCCATCTCGCAACACTCAAACCACTTGCCTGTTAACATAGATGATTTGTTATGATTAAAATCAAGGCAATAGATATCCCTTCAAAGATTTGTTTGGTGAAGCAAGTTGTAAATTGCCTTTCAAAATTGTGTGTACTTTTGACTTTTGTCCTTCTTTAGTGGCTTACATGTTTAGTTTTTTTTTTTTTTTTTTTTTGCTTGGCGGGTTATTGAGGTTTAGTTGAATTTTATAGAAGGGAGAATCTGATTTTCGTTGTTTTTGCTTTAATGGTAAATGTTCGCAGAAGTTGATGTATCAACAGGAAAGTGGACTTTTTGATTTCAGACGAACAGAAGTTGCTCCATTGCTGCTGATAATTGATAGGAGGGACGATCCTGTGACTCCATTGCTGAATCAATGGACTTATCAGGTATACAATTACTATCAGTATGACTAAGCAAGTACCTTGTTCTTGCTAAAAAGGCCCGATCATCTACTTTAGAGTCTGATGAGCAATTAATTGGTTTCATGAATTTTTTCTAGGCAATGGTTCATGAGCTGATTGGCATTGAAGATAACAAAGTTGACTTAAGAAGCATAGAGAAGCTGCCTAAAGATCAGCAGGTTGTTTTCTTTCTTCCTTTCTCTATCTTGATTTCCATAATGAATAATGCATGTGTCTGATTTTAAAGTTGTTTTTCTGCCGTGTTCTCTTCACAGGAGGTTGTACTGTCATCTGAACAAGATGCTTTTTTCAAAGCTAACATGTATGAGAATTTTGGTGACATTGGAATGAACATCAAACGGATGGTTGACGAATTTCAGCAACTTGCCAAAAGTAACCAAAATATCCAGACAATAGGTTTGTATAGAACAGCATGAAAGCTTTGTACGATTTGACTTTGCATTATCGTAATCGCTTAGTGCCACGACTCTGTGGAAGCATAATATGTACAGATATTTACCCAATGGTCTGATGTTCTGCAGAGGATATGGCCAAATTCGTTGATAACTACCCTGAGTATAGGAAAATGCATGGGAATGTTTCAAAGCATGTGACATTGGTTACAGAGATGAGCAAGATAGTTGAAGAGCGAAAGCTAATGGTAGTTTCGGAGACAGAGCAGGAATTGGCTTGTAATGGTGGCCAGGTGGCAGCTTTTGAGGTACTGTCAGCATTTATTCTATACTACATATAGAGTTTATCTGCTGTGCATAATTTCATGTGTTACTCTGTGGGTGTTTGGTTGCTTTGAGGACTCAGAGTCTGCAATCATATATTTAAGATTTAAATTTGGGAAAGATAGTGCTAAATATGCCGCCACATGATTCTTTGTATTTGACATAAATGAAAGATGCTCATTTAATAATGCTTACAATTTAGAGAAATTAGCTTAGCTTCATGTCTTGACCATTGTCATAGAAGTTAACAAGATTGGATTGTTCATGGACAAGTGTTGCGTTTGTTTCAGAGGCTGTTATTTTAGAAGTTCTGCTGGCATGAATATAAACCTTGGCAATGTAAATGGCTTGATAGGCAATGCCTTGGTCATGCCCACTGATTAAAGGGGTGCTGCAGCTTCTGCAAGGTGTTTTTGAACACGTCAAGTCGCAGCTCCTCCACAGCTGCAGCATCTTAACCTGCTTTTAGAAAACAGCTCCACAGACCGCATCCTAACCTGCTGAAATTCTCCTGGTTTTGACCTCAATAAGCTTCTGCATTTTCTTTAATATTCTTTGTAAATGTTTCTATCTTTTTATATTTATTTGTAATTCTCTGACTGGTGAGTGTAATTTTTGTTTCTGTTTAGTCAATTCAGAATGTTGGCATTTGGTTCTAATAACCTCTTTTAAATGTTTCATTTAGGCTGTGACGAATCTTCTGAACAATGAAAATGTGTCCGATATCGACCGTCTGCGCTTAGTGATGTTGTATGCACTTCGATATGAGAAGGAGAGCCCTGTTCAGTTGATGCAACTCTTCAACAAGCTAGCTGCTCGATCTGCCAAGTACAAGCCCGGGGTAAAGGGAGACTATTCTTGTTAGCATACTCTGAATAATGTTAGACCCAAAAGGGAAACTGATAGTAATAGCATTATCCTCCTTTTGAAGAATGATTATACTATTTTTCTTTATTGTCTCTTCCTCATGATGCTCTTTTGATGGCCATCTATTGTGATGCGGATGTTTAGTGCAGTTGCGCTATTGTCAGATACCAATTTGCTGTGTCATGTGATGACCACTTATCGAGAAAAAAAGAAAAAGGGAAAAAGAAGACATGATGATCAAGGATTCTTTCCTTGTGCAATATATTGGCTGAGGGAACACATAAACCTGCAAATTCAATATTTTTTGCTTTTTCTCTTATGCTTTCTGTCAAAAACATTAATTTCAGATGTCTATCTTTGTAAGCTCATATTGTGGTACAAATGACTTTAGTAGTCTTATACATGTAACTCTTTCTAGTCATCAAATCGGGAAATAACTGCTTAAATCATGAATTTCAGCTAGTTCAATTCTTACTGAAGCAAGCTGGTGTGGATAAACGGATTGGAGATCTTTATGGGAATCGAGATTTTCTGAATATTGCTCGCAACATGGCACGCGGATTGAAGGTCTGTTAAGTAAAGTGGGGTTCTTGTGACACATATGCTGTCGAAACTGATTGCCGTCTTTCTGTTTCAGGGGGTGGAGAATGTATATACACAGCATCAACCTCTTTTGTTCCAAACCATGGAGAGCATCATAAAGGGCCGATTGCGAGATGTGGATTATCCATTTATTGGAAACCACTTCCAGCAGGGCAGGTGTGTTTGTGCTTCTCTCTGTAATGATGCTGAATTGCACCTCTGTTTTGATATCAAAGTTTGTCATTCCTTGAAATCACTCACTTTGTGTGTGTTTTGAGTGAAGGCTTCTGCTTGGATTTTGTGGACATTTTCTGGTTCTTATCTTGAGTTTAATCACTTCGAATTTATCCCACTTGCTGTCATGAATCAAGAGTTATGATGGTTTTACTATTGCAAATTTGAGCACAAGTATGCTTTTTGGACATGAAATTAGATGCTCAATTTGATGGGAGTTACTAAAACATGAATATATAAATTACATAATGCATCCTTGCCTTTGGCATAGATGGTAGGATATGTTTCAAACTGTTACCTAGTGGTCTTAGGTCATTAATACAGTCTCTTGTGAAGCGGTATGGACGAGTATCAGAAGTGGTGAAACTAGAATGTGGTTTGAATTGGTGTTTACAGAGAAATTGTACCTCTGTATGTGTGTTGGAGAGGGAGTTGTGGGGGGGGCGGGGGCGCGCTGGGTGGTGGCATTCAGAAAGAGTGTTCCTGTGAATTTGTAAGATAAATTTGTCGATAAGGTTGCATTTGACTTTGAGATCCTACATGATGTGCCATGCAGCTTTTTCTTAGTCCTGATTTTTGTTTGCAGGCCACAAGAGGTCGTTATTTTCATTGTCGGTGGGACAACTTATGAGGAATCACGGTCTGTTGCTCTTCAAAATGCTAGCAATGTGGGAATTCGTTTTATACTTGGTGGTTCTGTAATTCTGAACTCTAGAAGGTAATGTGCAACTCCCGATAGTCATATGGTAGGGCATATCTAGGATGGAGGTCATTGATGCAGAGGTCACTACGCTGTAGTTCGTCAGCTGTCCATGAGCTTAAAGCAGATAGCTTTTGCTTGATGCTGGCCTCATCTTTCTGGTGGCTGTTGGCTTCTTGGGTGGGGATTTTCACATTGTCTTTCTGTCAAGTCCATCCCTAGGGGTGTTTTCTATAGCCCTCTTCCATAACCTGAGATTTTATAATTGGCGAAGGGCTTATGTGGAACTTGTCAATTGTCATCATATATCATCTTATCTAGCCACGCTACAATATCGCTATCCTTTTCTCATGGGTACCCTCATATATAAAGGAATCTGCTCTGCAATGTAGGTTTTTGAAAGACCTGGAAGAAGCTCAGAGAATTGCTCGTTCCAGCACCAACATGGTGTGAAGATCAGATCCTCTTCTCGGCAATTACCAATTATGCTGTTTATGTTCAATTCTCATCCACAGAGTCTGCTATCTGGAGCAGCTTGTTAATATCATTAGAAGAAAGCTGGCTCCTTCAGTGTCAAGCCATGCAGGAGGAACATCTACCTAGTTCTCCACGATTAACTCGAATATTTTCGTGCTCCAGTCGTATAGATTTTGCTCCGGGATAGAGAAAAGATATCATATTCGCACGGCCCTATGGCTTTTTTTGTAAAACCACAATGAGGATACAAATTTTGTGTTCTTGGGGAAAATGACGGTGACTAGTGAGATCCGACTTTTCCTCTTCGATATTTGCCATAGAAGTGCAGACACCGCACATAACGGGAAGCTGTATGGACTAGTAGCATAGCTGTGATTATCTTAGACTGGTTTAGTTACGAGGAACCCGAGATTGATTTTACGGGGCATTGTCTATAATCTTTGATAAATCTGGGTTTTACCCAATTGGTCTTTTGGTCTGTTGGTTTTGTAATGGATTTTGCTGTGAAAGATTTGTATCATATATGATCGGAAACACCACGATGCCCCTCTTTCTGTCGATAGTTCATCTTGTTTGTCTCACAACCAGAAGCACTTTTGGCTTTCGATTTTTATATGCAACGGACTCTTCATGTTGCCCCCGGATCCATGCTGCTTTCGTTTTCTTTCTTATACTGCAAATTCCGACGGAGGATGGCAAACTGTGGAGATGCACACCATCGATTTCTCCATGCACGCAGTAATTGCTTGCGCCCGCTCATCGAGCCTACTTGTTTGTCATCGAAACCGAATTTATTTTGTCAATAGTTAAAACAAAAGTCGCTTCAATCAGAGACCATGTAATGAGAAATGTCGTCAACGGTAAATGTTGACAACTCTTAGGAGCTATACGAAATTAGCACGTACTGTTTTATGATTTTTTTTTATTTTTTTGTTGACAATTTTGAGATAACAAGCTCCCAATTAAGATTATTCTTGTGCATTTCAAATTTTGACTTTTATCTAATTTTTAAATGCACGAAACCTTTTATAATATGCGGAAACCGACGCGCAGAGCTATAAATTATTTTAACCTAATTCTTGAAATAAGAAAAAACCTTCTTTTATCTGAACTTTGGAGGAAAATTCATAACCCGAGATATTAAGAAGTAGATTTTTCTCCCTTCCAGGCTGGACAGGAGCTAAAATAGGAAAGTTTTTAGCAGTTAAAGTCAAAGAGAACCGAGTTCTAACTGCCCTATGAATACACCTCTTCCCGCCAACAAAAACACAACACAAAGACCCCGTCCGAATAAGAGTAGTACTAGTACTAGGTTTCCTCCTCGCTTCATTACATCTCTACGCCTGCCCCTTACTTTCCCTGATTTCATCCCATCCTCTCCAATTCCGATCGTCGCGTTCCCTTCCTGAGAAACCCTTGAAGCCAATGAAATGAGCAGCCCCGCGCAGATCCCTCGGCGAAAGCGCACCGCCCTCGAGTCGCAGTCCCCGTTGCTGGCCAGTCGGCTCGTGGATTTCGCCAACAAGGTGAAGATCCGGTTCCCGCGCCGCCCGGATGTGTTCGCGGCGTTCTGCGAGGCCTGCAGCCTGTGCGAGGAGAAGGGCGAGGAGTGGGTTTTCGGGAGGATGCGCGATCTCTTTGCAGATCATCAAGACTTGATCGCGGAGTTCGCGGAACTGCATTCGAAGGGCTCCGCCCTGATGGACGGCGCCGAAGGCTCTGGCCGTTGTGCGGCGATTGGCGGGTCGGGGAACGAGCTCGAGGCTCTGAACACCGGCGAGAAGCCTGAGATAGAAAGAGGAGAGCCGAGGAGTTCCTTCCCAGCGCCGGTCAAGAACGCGCACGAGCGCATTCTGTTCGACTGCGAGGACGACATGTGCGACCTGGATGTGATGATCGGCCTTGTTCGATCGGCAATATCCCGCATCGGGCGCCACCTGGCGGCCGGGCGCTGCTATGGCTGTCGCCTGACGGCCGGAGAGCTGAGGTGCATCAGGAATATGTATGGTGACCAAGGGGCCGACATGGTGGAGCTTCTGAGGGAGGACCCAGAGCGCACGCTGCCGCTTGTGCTGAGCCGGTTGCAGCAGAAGCACGACCAGTGGATGGCCTACCGATCGGATGCTCGCAAGGTCTGGAAGAAGGCCTTCGTGGAGCACCACCGGCCTTCGTTGGGCCGTGGAGACACCAGAACCATCACCATTGAGGCTCCGGTGGGCACCGGCAGCGGGTCTTGCCCTCTGGCGGAAGCGCCGGAAAACGTCGGTGTGAATGTCCGCTTGAATCTTTTTAGCAGAAGCCAATGTGGACCGATGCGGCTCGTGATCGGGAGATTTTGTGAAACCACGATCTCTAAAAATTTGAGTTGTTAAATGAAAAAGTGGTTTAATATTTGTATATTCTGACATTGATGCCTTTTGCTGAAATTTTGTCACTTTTGGAGTTCGAATTTGTATATACTGATATTTGTATGGTCCGTTTAGAATGCTTTTGATTTTTGTTTAACTCCATAACTTCTAATTATGACGTAATAATCCTTTTTTGCTGTATTCATCAACGTCTTACATGATATGACTTTCATTTAACAAGACGTGTGCGAAAACCTTCCAAAAATATAAGTTTAAGAATACTTTCAAGTGGATAAATAAAATTAGTATAACATGTTGACAATTTTTGTTTTGGTAAGAAAATGAGTAAAGCCTGAGTATTACATTGTTACTCTCGTAATAAAACTTGATCCGCCTATCAAATTCTAAAGTGTCATTTGCATCACGGAATTGAAAGACCCAATTTTCCTATTAATCTGCGCATGAATCATTCCCTAAAAGTATGTATAATTTTGACATATAAAGGGTTAATGTCGTCAAAGTTGAAGGAAGGAAAATGGCCACTTGGGAGAGTCCACCTCTGCAATAAGTTTGGGAATGCTTAAAGAGATGGCCAATATGAGACCCAAAAAAAAATCCCAAAGTCCTGTTTTGAGCCAAGAGTACACTGCCCACAGTTTGTACAAACCCAACGAATGAATTACTTGATTCATTACGAAGAAGCCCACCTGCTGAAATTAAACCTGGATTGCCTTTAAAGACGTCGGCATTGATTTTGATTCAATTAGAAGGAAGGACGGTCCACCCTACAAACTCAATGTCGATATTTTTAAAGAAATGTTAGGAATACACGCTATACATAACTTGTGGATTCTGACCCAGCTACCTAGCTACTGGGCAGGCCAGGGCTAACGTGATCCAAAACCACCGAAGTGGACTCCACGTAATCAGCAAACAAGACATGCTTGCGTGTCACTTTACAAGTCATATAATTTTGAGGCACCGTCAGCATTTATTCCATACAACATTGCCAGTTTCATCTGCTATGCGTAATAAGCTCGATGTGTGTAACTCTGTGGGTGTTGGGTTGCTTGGAGGTCTCAGAGTCTGTAGTCGTATTATGAAGATTAAACCTTGGAAAGATAGTTCTAACTATGTCTGCCGCACGATATAACTGACAGATGCTCGTTTACTAATGCTTACAATTTAGGGAAATTTAGCTTAGCTTCATGTCTGGACTTTTGTCATAGAGGTTAGCATGACTGGAAGTTTTCCATGGACAAGAGTCGCGTTTGTTTCGGAAGCTGTCGTTTCAGGAGTTCTGCCGGCATGAATATGAATAATGGAAATGAACATGGCTTGATAGGCAATGCCTCAGGTCATGCCTACCTGTTAAATGGGTGCTGCAGCATCTGCAAGGTGCTTGTTGAACCCCACAAGTCACAGCTTCTCCACAGCTGCAGCATCTCAACGTGCTTTCAGAAAACAGCTTTACTTAACAACCTGCTATTTCAGACAGCTCAACTCATTCACATGTCGATGGGGATCGAATTCTCCTGGTTTTGGCCTCTATGAGCTCCCGCATTTATGTTAATATTCCTCGTATGGATGTGAAATGTTTCTATCTTCTTCTTGTACTTGGTAATACTGCTAATATGTGTTTGTTAATTCTCAGACTTTTGAGCGTATTATTTGTTTCTGCTGAGTCAATTCAGAATTATGGGCTTTGGTTCTAATAACCACTTTTAAATGTCTCATCTAGGCAGTAATGAATTTTCTGAACAATGAAGATGTGTCCGATATATACTGTCTGCGCTTGGTGATGTTGTATGCACTGCGCTGTGAAAAGGAGAGCCCCGTTCAGTTGATGCAACTTTTCAACAAGCTAGCTGCTCGATCTGCCAAGTACAAGCCCGGAGTAAGGGAGAGACTATTCCTGTTAGCGCACTCTAGACAATACTTAGACCCAAAAAGGGCAACTTATATTGATAGTATTATCTCCTCCTTTGAAAGAGTGATTGTAATATTTCTTTATTTTCTCTTCCCCGTGATGCTCTTTTAATGGCCACCTATTGGGATGCAAATTTTTAGTGCAGTTGCGCTATTATAAGATACCAATTTGCTGTGTCAGTGATATTGGCTGACGGAACACATAAACCTTCACGTTGAATTTGATTGGCTTTTTCTCTTATGCTTTCTGTCGAAAACTTCAATTTCAGATGTCTATCTTCTTTAGTTCATATATATGGCATTTTGTAGTCTTACACATTTTAATCTTTCTAGTGATTAAATCAGGAAATAACTGTGCCTATATCATGAATTCCAGCTAGTTCAATTCTTACTGAAGCAAGCTGGTATGGATAAACGGACTGGAGATCTTTATGGGAATCGAGATTTTCTAAATATTGCTCTCAACATGTCACGTGGATTGAAGGTCTGTTAAGTAAAGTGGGGTTCTCGTGAGATAGAGATGCGGTCGAAACTGATAATGTGTTTCTGTTTCAGGGGGTCGAGAATGTATAATACGAAGCACCAACCTCTTTTGTTCCAAACCATGGAGAGCATCACAAAGGGCCGACTGAGAGATGTGGATTATCCATTTGCTGGCAACCACTTCCAGCATGGCAGGTGTTGACCAAATCGACAGGATCCTCCTATTTTGGTATTACTTGTTGCTAATGGAGCACAGGTCCCGACACAAGGAGCGGGAAAATTTAAGATGTTGTCTAAGAGTTCTATCGCTTTGATCGTACTCGATTTATCTTCAAGTTTATTATACTGTTAGTAAGTGTACGAAAGAATGGAACCGCAATGTCATTTTTTCTGCTTCTAAGGTGTTACTTCAGATTGCATCACCAAGAGGACGATTGGTGAAGGGAGGTTGCAGAATGGACTCTATGTCATAGATCAATACCCCAAGGCATTGAGTGCAATCCAGAATGCTAAGAAGATGTCGGAACTATGGCATAGACGCATGGGTCATCCGTCGATCGATTTTACACACTCTTGATAGATCTTTATCTTATGATTCTAGTTCATGTGATTGTTGTCATTTCGCCAAACAACATAGACTTCCTTTTCCTAAGAGTACACATTTCTCTTCGAATTATTTGATTTAATTCATTCGATGTGTGGAGTGCTCCCATTGAGTCTCGGGATGGCTATAGATATTTCATCTCTTTTATTGATGATAAGTCTCGCTACATG